TTTACCCCCGTTTTTGCAAAAAATATTCAAAAAGGGGAACAGCGTGAAACTGCTAATCTATCCATGAGGGTGTAAACAATCCATGAAAATATAATAATAATATTAATAATAATAATAATAATAATAATAATAATAATAATAATAATAAGAAGAAGAAGAAGAAGAAGAAGAAGAAGAACTACAACAAAATAAAAAAAATAATCAAGAAATTTAAATGCAACTTCGTTGGAAAATATATATATATATATATATATGTATATAAATAAAAAGAAAGAACAGTAAGATATAAAATCCGGTGTTCTTATAGATATTTTATTTTTACAAAATAGTGCTCAATGTAAATTTACAGAGCATTAATATTATAAATTAATTGATTTTAATCAGATGGTTATTTTCTGAAGTTCAACCATGTTTCAAAAATAGAATTTAAAAACCCCGAATTTATTTTTTGCAATTTTCGCCGAATTAGTTCCATTTCATCTTCAAGCGAATTTTGATTTTTGATTTGAAGATGAAATTTTAATTTATTTAAAAAATAAAATTAGGGTTTTTAGCTTCTATTTTGAAACATGGACAGAACTGTGAGCGAAAATAAAATATTTTAAATCAATTTATATATATATATATATATATATATATATATATATATATATATGCGTATATATATAGTAGAGGTAATCGATCGTTGGTACATAATATTTTTTGGATCCGAGTAATATTAATAATTAAAACTGATCTGCAGAGAGCTCGATGTTTTTTCATTTCAACAGACCATATGTATTTTTACAGCAAAAAAACAAAAATTACCTCAACATCGGAATAGACTATTTCAAATCGTAACTCAACGGCGTTCGTCAGCCTCTGAGTACATTTCTCGGAGTGGTCCGAGAAATGTACTTGGAGGTAATTTTAGGTTTTTTGCTGTAATATATATATATATATATATATATATATATGTGTGTGTGTGTGTGTGTGTGTGTGTGTGTGTGTGTGTGTGCTAGCAGCATGGCTCGGCGTTGCCTGTGCTTAATTCAAAAATCATACGACTCATACAGCAATCGCTATCACTTGACTTAAAATATTTTTGCCCTTTCTTGACTTTAAAGGAGTGCCCTTTGCCGTGCTGATGTTGCTACATGCCTTACTTCTTGCCTATCTCACACTGCCAATTTTTTCTAAGCTCTATACTAAACATTAAATCTGTTACGAAAAAAGAACTAAACAAAAAACGATCAGCTTTAAAAAAGGACTCGTAACTGAAAAAACCGAATGAAAAAAGAATGTTAACAACAATTACTTTTTCACACCCAACCCAGTTCTACGGAATCAGAATCAACGTTGAGTTTAAGCAAGCGAATGAGCCAATTGGAGTAAAGTGCCATGCAGATTTAAATTTTTCCCACTTGTGACGAATGCAACTATCGATTTTTTTTGCATGCTAGCATGCTAGTTAACATTCGTGCCAGTCATCTGTTGGCTCTCACGCTGGCCAATAGAATCTTCCTTCCTATTTGTGGCAGTCAGCTATAGGCTCTCACTCTGGCCAGTAGAAAATGGCCGCAAACTACATGAAAACTGCCGTAGAAGCATGAAAAATCGATTATTTCCACTATCGATGTGAGTTGGGAAAGTCGGTCTTGGCCTTCGCGCTAACTTGGAGCATGTGCATGTAAATTTTGGTGCAAATCCGTCGAAAATTGCGACCATGCAATCGTTACACACACACACACACACACACATAGACACACACACATCCTGCCTTTTATACATATATATATATATATATATATATATATATATATATATATATATATACTATCCGAGCTACCCGGCGTTGCAATTACTGCAATTATACAACGGCACCCCCCTGTATAACCGCACCCCCTGCCTAGAAATGTCTACCAGCGTCCCCGCTTGCATGCATCATCAATTGGTATACTAAACTACTCCCCCCACCTTATCTTTTTACGGCATGTCCTTTGCGGGTTTTCGGTTGTTCTTAAAGGAATTCCATCGATAAAAAAACTGCTTTAATAACTTTCAAATAATATGGCATTGTTCACAAATCTAATAACCAACCGAAAACAGGGATAAAGTATCAGAGCTTGATACAACCTCAAGAAGAATCATAGGTTCCTCGGGATTTTTTCCCTTTTAACGCTTCAATAATACTTCTCAAACAATTTTCATCAATCTGCATCAAAAGTTCTTCGAATTTCACTTTAGGATGGAATCATATGAAGAAACTATTAGCTAAATGGCAAAAGCCGATTTTGGACCTAGTTTTTCGCAGATTTCGTCCATTCAACTGAAATAATCTAAACAAAACATTCACGTAAGACAATTGTTGTGTAATATATAATTTGGAAAGCATCGGACGAAAAACATGGAAGTTATGACCGAAAAAGTGGTTTTTGAACATCTTTTCATCTTTTTTTTTTGTTATTCGCGGTAAAGCGAACAGGAAGAAACCACACTATCTTAGTCGTGCATGATAGCAAATATTTTGCGACATGTTTGAAGAAAAATGGATAAAAAATGAGGAAGTTATTCAAGTTTTATTTTAAGCAGTTCGAAAAACCCGATTTTTTTCACAGATTTTTACATTTACAGCGTGAAGCCAATGCCGCAGGAAAACTATCAAGCACTCTATATAAACCTCGTAACATGAGCTATGTTTTGCATTAAGTGCAAAGAACATCAGCTCATTCAGTAAAAAAAATTGTTCACGTGTCACGGTTTTTACAAATAGCCGTACCCACCATCAGTTTGATCAATTTTTATGTCAAACCCGACTGGGGCGATCTGGAGATTGAAAAGTTGGTTTTAACCTACTTTGCTAAATTTACAACATGTGTGTACAATTTCATCGAAATCTCCACCATAAATGTGGACGTATGTATATAGCATACACACATAGAGACAAACATACACAGAGACACCTTTTTTATAGATATAGATATTATATGAAATGGATTAAAATATATTTTAATATATTTTCTGTTTATACGGTTTTTTAATGGATACACTTTTTTTAGTAAACACATTGTTTTTTTTATTTTTTTAAATTAAAGAGTATAAATTACGTTTTCCGGCGTGGATGTTGGAGAAATTTCGTAAAAAAATAAAGGTCCACCGTCAGGAATCGAATCTGTTCGTTCGGTTTGGTTAGTTCTACGGCATATCAACCTCAATGGATTATTTAATACCGACAAGATTTTTAATGCTGGTAAAATTTCCCCCCCAAAATGTCTTTTTGGTAATACTATTTTTTCTTCAAAAATGCATTGCAGGTAATATTTTTTACCTTAAAAAAATTATTGCTGGTAATATTTTTTTCCTTCAAAAAAAGTTTGCTGGTAATATTTTGTCCTCAAAAATGTATTACTGGTAATATTTATTTTCTTCAAAAATGTATTGCTGGTAATAATTTTTTGTCAAAAACATTATTGTTGGTATTAAAACCTATTTTTGCACTTTTATAAAGGTTTTGATCCCACTTTGAGGGTTAACTATTTGACCATATCTGTGACACTAACAGGTGCTACCACCCCGAGTCAGGTTGGACCTGGGAACACCAGCAATTAAAAGGGGCTTCCACGCTCGTCAAACCTCCTGATCAGAGTCTTTGCTGTCGGATGCATTTTATCTTCTCTCACACACACACACACACACACACACACACACACACACACACACACACATATATATATATATATATATACTCTTCAGTACCTAGCTAAGAATGATTGTAGTAATTATAAGGGAATATATATATATATTCAGTACCTCGCTATATATATGTGTGTGTATTTTTTTACTGCATGAGCTGATGTTCTATAAATATATATATGCGTGCGTGTGTGTGTGTGTGTGTGTGTGTGTGCGTGCGTGCGTGTGTGTGTGTGTGTGTGTGTGTTGGTGGGTAAGAGAGTAAACATAACTGTTTCAAGTTGAAGAAGCTAATATTTTATCGTACCTTTCACAAAGCGACAGAAAGACACATGGTTGCTGCTCACCCCGTTTGCAAGAGATTCTAAAAGGGAGTACAGCGTGGAACTGCTCATCTACTCAGGAGAGTGTAAGCAATATAATAACTTCATCCACTTGTAAAAAAAAAAAGATTAAAAATAATGGAAGCTTTAATAAAAAAAAAAAAAGAAAAAGCCAACTCTTAACAATATTAACTACGAACAAGGCCACAATGGGCTAACCGTATTCAGAAATTAAAAACAACTCTAGAATACACTAAAACATCCACATAATTCACACACTCAATTAAGCTGAAAAATGGAACCATCCTTGATATTGGCTAAAGGTATAGCTGAAAGCGCTCGAAACTATAAAATATTTGGACAGTTTTTACACACTCTTTGTCTAGAAAAGAAAGCTCTTGTTCGAATACAAGAAAAATTAAATAAAAAAAACTTAACTGTAGTCCTTTGCCTCTCGTTTTTAATGAAACATGCATAAATGAAGGATTGCTGCCTAAATATACAACTATATATATATATACAACTATATATATATATATATATATATATATATATATATAAATATATATATACCGAACGTAAAAGCAAAATTGTCCAAATCGAGTAAGAGCATAATTGATATAATTAAATGTTTACACACACACACGCGGCTAGGCACAAACACACACACACACACACACACACACACACACACACACACATATATATATATATATATATATATATGAATTGGTTGGTAGGGGTAACAGTGCACACAGAACTTTCATGTTGAAGAACCTAATATTTTATCGAATCTTTTATAAAGGGAAAAGAGAGAGAAAGATGGAAGAGGCTTGTAAAAGAAACGTATTCGAATTTTTTTCACTCCTGTGTTTAGGGACGCTATTCCGTTTATGTTAGGGTGAATAGGATTCTTCTCTGCATGAAATCTTTTCACGAAATATCAGCCAAATGTAGTTTCTTTTTTTGTGAAACTATAAAGAAAGGTGGATCAATAATATTGGAATGTTTCTATCTTTTACCTCCCCCATCTTCCCGCAACGCACGCCCACACATATACATATCGTGAGATTGAACAGTAGAGAGTCTCGCGTGCCAGCCAGCTGCCTGTGACGTCACTTCAATGTATAACGGCGATTGCTTACTATTAAAAGTATTTCAATATGGAAGAGCCGACACGGATATTGAAAATGACCAGATATATAGTTGAAGGCGCTCGATCGCAAACATTTAGACAATTTATATATCGAAACTCGAAAAATGAACTGAGGGTAGCAAAAAAAAAAAAAAAAAAACAAAACAGAAGGAAAAAAAAAGAAAAACAACAACAATAACCATTTTTCGTTTTTTTTTTTCGTTTTTAATGCAACAACATCAAGGAAAAACCATTGTATGATGACTGCAACTGAATTTGCGTCAATGCCACCGCTGAATCCATCCTGAAATACAGGCAGCGATGTGGGTTTAGTCCTGCTAGGGTTATACATTCCCTTACGCAGATGTGGCAACGTTAGGCGTCTTTTGCAGTAGGTGTTGCATAAATGCAATATAACGTGTAATGTATAAAATAAAATAAAAAAAATAGCTGCCTAGCCAATCCCAAATTACAGACGCTCGCCCAGACGCTTTTTTCTGTTTGCTCAACACCGACAGAGCCCACCTGTCGTTTATACTGGAACTATGCTGAGCAGACCTTAGTTACAGTTTCTGGGAGAGAGCGTGTTATCTAGCGTGATCAACAATTAGAACAAGGCCAGCACGCTCAAGCGCTCGACCACGATGGCTTTTGGCTTTGTGCTAGCACAGCTATTGACGCCCCTCAAGAGTTCCATCTACCCAATTTCACTCACAAGTTTTGGGTCAACTCGTGGTATGGTTTTCAGGCACCTTCCAAAGGTGCCGTACGCTGGGATCGACCTCGATCCATTCCGATAACATCGACCATAGTGAAATTCGAACACGAGTCTTCTCATGATCAGAAAGCGAACGTTCTAATCACTAGCCCACGCACCCATAATGAATAGTTTCATATATACATATATATTTTTATCACTTCAAACGCTATTTCTTTTAGTGTATACTCGTATTAAAGTAGACGCCCCTTTTATTTTAAGCAATATGTATTTCGTCTACTGGTTCGAGAAAATTTAATAAAAAAAATTGCCCTCCGGAAGAATTCGAATCTGCGACTCCCTTTTGTTGAAGCTACTGACATATCTGGTGTGCTTTGACCACTCAGCTACAAAGAGCTTCACAATCATTCAAAATTGTATTCGCATTTAAAACACATTCACCCGTTTAAATTTTCTTGAAAAGCAAATCTACTCATTTTCGTATCGGAGACGTAAACAAAGCAATTTCAAAAGATTTAATCGATTTTTTTTAATCCGACATATTTTTTATTTCGTCCACCGGTCTGCACAATCGATCAAGTAACAATTTAAAATGATGACACGCATTGATATATGTAAAATTTTATAAATAAACATATGTCAAGGCAAGCATAATGTTTTTGTAATAAAGTGCTCAATAAATGTCCATAGAAATAATTATTGTAAAAATATTATTGAGAGTTTACGAATCTAATCGAAGATCGACTAAGAGTTTCACGATATTTCGCTCTTCAGTACCTAACTAAGAATGATTGTAGTAATATATAAGGAATATATATATATTCCCTTATAATTACTACAATCATTCTTAGCTAAATACTGAATATATATATATTCCTTATAATTACTACATTCTTAGCTAGGTACTGAAGATTACACATATATATATATATATATATATATATATATATATATATATATAATGTTATAAAAGCTAATTATAATTATATAAGCTAAATAAATTTTGTTTTAGAAAATTCACAGAAATAGCAGATGGCAGAACAGAAAAACTTTAAATTTAAAAATTTAGATAGCGTTTATAATAAGCATTTTCAAAAATTTATTATGTCATAATTAGTATAAACATTCTTAGCTTGGTTTTGAAGAGCGATACTTCGCGAAACTCTAAGTCGATCATTAATAACTATAGTAAACTTACAATAATGTTGATACATCTTGCTATATATATATATATATATATATATATATATATATATATATATTGTGGACATAGTAGCAGTAACTACATTGTGAATGACAGTTCACGCCTGATGTGATTACCCATCAAAATAAATTTTATTAAAAATTTTTTTTTTTCTTCTTCACCATCCTCATCACCTTTTTCTTCTTCTATTTTTGTTGTTGCTGCTATTTACTCATATATATATATATGATAAGAAGAATAACAAAAACGAAATGTTTATCAATCTAACATATTTCAATTTTATTAAAGCTTCATCAGAGAATGAAATATGGGAAAAAAGAAATAAATTCTGGCATTTTAATTATTGTGTTATTTAATTTTTATTAGGTAAGCAGTCTTTACGTGCATTTGACTTGTTAAACGACGTTAGTATAATTTATGATGTTCCGAATTCAAGGAGAGACAACTCAGTTATGCTTGGAATCCATTAATACTTGGAGCTTCTAAAGAACACGTTGTCTCTTCTTAAATTCGGAATGCCATAAATTTTACTTACGTTGTTGAGAAAGTTAAGTGCAGGTGAAGCCTGATTAACCAATGAAAATAAAAACAACACAAAAATAAAATTAACAGAAAATATCTCATTCTCTTATGATGCTTTAAAAAAGTTAAACGTCTTGATAAACGTTTTTATCGTATCATTCTCTCGCATTCTGATTCATATTAGATTCATATATATATATATATATATATATAAGTAACGAAAATCTTGGTAATCCGTATGGATAATACCAAGGAGAATGAAATCCTGAGAGCTCAATGTTAATTCAGAGCTAATGATTTAAAGAAAAACAGACCACTTTAAAGGCTTCATTGTAATAGTTTATTTTCCCTGGACTTTGAATTTTCCCTGGAAAATTCAAAAAAATGGTGAAATAAACTATTACAATGAAGCCTTAAAGTGGTCTGTTTTTCTTTATATATATATATATATATTAAATAAATCTATTTACACTCCGTGGGTGAAAAAATCTGAATAGCACAATTTTCAAAAAACTGGCAAAAAAGAAAGAACTGGTACAAAGAAAAAAAAACCACAGTGTGTAATAAGTTAAAACGAAGAGAGCTCAATATGCTAAGTAGAGCAAAGATAAAATAAATAAATCCTAATGAGTCAGGTACTACCTACCTAAGTTTCACCACATAGGATCATCTAGCCAGTTCATCCTGATGATCATATGTGGTAAAACCTAGGATCAATATCCTCAACCTACACTAGTCTGGTTTCGCATTCAGAGTCTTTCTCCGTGTCAGGTACAATATTAGAACCAGGTCTGCCTGGGTAGATTCTTTCTTTTCTTTGTGGTATTTGCATGTAAGTGAATGTAACGATCTTGACTGGAATTCGAACTTGACTCTCCGATCCCTCAGTTTAAGCCACTGTCCCTTACTCCACCTTGCCACTATATCATGGGTATATATATATATATATATATATATATATATATATATATATATATATATATATAATCTTACGTGGTAAATGTTATAAAATTTATTTTGCTGACTACACAAACAGTTTTTAAAAATCGTATTTACGAACACAAAGGACTATAAAAATCGTGGATATAATAAATTCTTCATTCTCCTAATATACAGTATACAAGCTATCATTTCAATTTAACGCACACCACTAAAAAAATACCAAAAAACAACAAAAAAAAAATAACAAAAACAAAATAAAACAAACGAAATGCCAAAATGGTTAAGTTTATTCATCATAAATCATCTAGAAGAATTATTGAATCAGCTATGATATCATGATTCAATTCGATTAATCTAAAAAATAAAAATATCTTTTCTGGCTAAGATAACTGGTTTGGTTGATTTTGTTTAGCGGCATATCAACCTCTATGGGTTATTCAATGTCAAAATCTAAATATTTTGTACGCAATTTTATACTTAAAGAAAAAAATAAGAAAATAAATGTAGGTTATATATCTTATGATAAATTTCTAAATTAAATTTTAGGCTTTCCTTAACACTTAAATAATATATAATCATAAATTATATTTTTTGCTTACAATTTAGTTTAATTATACGGAATTGATTTTTCTTACTAAAATTTTCGTTCATTTTATTTACTATTCTTTAATGTTTAATCCCGATATTTTTTTTTTTTTTTTACTTTATTTTAATATATTCCCTATGTACAAATATCATTGATTTCCTCACGAATATACTTTAAAAATTTTGTAGGGGAGTTATAACTTTGAGTAAATAATTATAAGCCACCTTATAATTCTAGCAAAAATACTAACTAAAGAAGAAACAATGCGTAGAAACAACAAAACTAGTTGTTATATTGTGTTGGAGACACGAGATATAGTAATACTGCGTAAAATTGTTTGTTTGGTGTCAAATTTAGATCAAATACGGATCGGAATCCGACAGAAACATAAGATAAAATATAAGTTGAAAAATGTAGGAAATCCGATCCAATATATAAACGTACAGACACACACACACAACCTGGGTTTTATAATAAGTATGATGAAATCATTCTTTGAGCATTACCTCATAATTGGCGAGAGAAGAGGTGGGTTCATACTTTTTCCAAAGGTATATGCACGTAATTGAATATAACGAACCCAACAGGAATTCGAACTCGGCTCTTCGATTAAAAATTCATTATCCATTACACCACCCGCACATAAAAGCCATTCCCAATCGGTCGCCCATCTAGTTACTGACCAGGCTCGAATTTGCTTAACTTCGGTACGGGGACCACTGTTTCAACGTGATTTGGCCGTAACTCCTTTTCACAGATAGAAAACCGCCCCCCCCATTTTAGTTCCATAAGATTCTTATATTATTATTAATTTGCCTACACCACCAAACGTGATGACAGGCTTTGTTGAGCCCTTATTAGAATCGTTAAGAATAATGACGTCATTCTTTGAGAATTAATCTATTGCTTCTTCGAAAGAAGTTTCTGTAAAGTTATCGGTTATGACCTGGTATCTCGGCTTCCGTCAATTTCCACCGCGGTAACGTGACTTCTCTGTGTCTTGTCTATAAAAAATTCCATATCAACTCTTCTAATCATTTCATGTACCTCGACCACATTAATTTAAGCGTACTACTAGTTTGGCGGTTAGGTCCCACTGTTTTAATATTGAAATAGATGCAACCGTAAACATTATTTCTTTTCTGATCTTTGGAAATCTATTCCGTTTTCTTGCATCCTTGTACACCTATGATCTTCAAATATTTCATCATCACCATCCTTCGGCCTTTATATTTTGGTCCGAACTCCAGTGACAATCCCTTTCCAGACTGTTCGGTCTTGTATTGGTGTCTCCAGACCCCCAATGTCTAACACTGAGCCCAGACCTATGGTATCTGAGAAAGTCAATTTTTGTGAAAGGATACTTCCAGAAGGATGCCACAGGAGTAAGGATGAGATGATTTCTCTGTCGGCTCGGTGGCAGAGGTCGGCAAACTGTAAACGTTTTTGCTTGAGCTTAAGAGAGATTAGTCTTGCATTAATCGTTGCATCAGATCTGCAGCTGATGGTTTTGATTTTTCTAAATAGATTTGTATATGTTCCTTAAAAGACGAAGAGGTAATGTCGAAGTTTCTGATCTATACAGTCGGACTGGTTCAATCAATTTTCGAAAAGTCTGGAGGATGGAAGGTTCGAGCGCCAAATCTTGTGATGTTTGTTACACGCATCCCATGCAAGAGCTTTGCGGATGTTGAAGTCTTTTTCGGAATGTATTATGTGAGATTCAAGATATTTGAAGTCCGCAACTCTTTTGATGGACGTTTTATCGGCTGACTTCAGCTCGGATGGTTCAGGGGAGGTTGTGGTATATTCTGTCTTATTCACGTTTCAATAGAGACCAACCTGGTTCACTGCTTGCTACGGTGACAGCAAATATTTAAATCGCCATCGTATGTCTTCCTGAATCCTGAATTTAAGTTAGAGTTTCTCCTTGCTACCGTTACTCATATCCTTTCACACTCATTAATCCAGGCGTCTTAGTAACATTATCGCCTTACTTCATGTGAAATGATGATGGTGATGATGATGATGATGATATATATATATATATATATATATATATATATATATATATATATATGCCTTTTCTTTTAGTTGCGATTTGTACCCCTGGTTTCCTCTCTTTTATTTTATTTCTTTCTTTCTCGAATTTTTTAATATTCAACTAAAAAAAAAAAAAAAACACGTAACGATACATTTTTATCAAACGTTTTAGTATTGGCAAAGAATTTATCCCGTGGAGCGAAATGGTCATATAAATGGGGTACAATTGAGTTTCATTTTTTATGTAACTATATATATATATATATACTTACATATATATATATATATATATATATATATATATATATATATATTGGATGCTGTGTAATTTTGTAATTTTCAAAATTTGGTAAAACTGTTTGCCTAACAAATTTTGTCTCTGAAAGAAATATATATATATATATATATATATATATATATATATATATATATATATATATATATATATATATGTGTGTGTGTGTGTGTGTGTGTGTGTGTGTGTGTGTGCCTGTCTTCTGATACTATTTTTTTTTTTTTTTTTTTCATTTTTATCACCGCGTTCTTTTTCAAAGGTTTTATTTCTTCCTTTCTCTATTTCCTTCCTTTTCTCTTTCTTTATTCTTTCTTTCACTCTCTCTTTCATTCCTTCTTTTTTCATTCTTTCCCTTTTTTTTTTCTTTTAACCATGGCCCCGTTCGTCTTAGTTTTGTCCTCCTCTTTAACTTTGTCTATTACTTTGTTCATTTTCTCGGATTAAACACCACTTTCCGACTCTTCCTCTTTCTTCCCACTTATTCTTATTTCTTTCACATATTCCTTCTCTCGCCAACAGCAATTCATCCGTTCTATTCTTACTTTATTTTCTCACTCTTTTCCTCACACTTTCTATCTCTCCGTCTCTTTATCAGTTCCAGAGGGAAAAAAAGAAGACACTAGAAATGATAGTATTCAATAGTCGCATCAAAAGCATCGAAATATCAAAGCAAATATAAACGCCAGCAAACTTATCAATAAAATGATGATGATGGTGATGTCAACAACGATGATGATGATTTTATAAAAGTTAATTGTGAATTTTTCTCTCTTGCTTCAGCTTTCTTCAGAATATTTATTTATTTTTATGGACTCAAGAGAATAATCCTATTGAAATATTTGTCGTTGCTTTGGTGACAGCCGGTGAAAATTCGTTAGCCATTTTTGTTTTCTTATTTGCTTGTCGCCGACCATTGCAAAGACGTGTGCGATGTTGGCAGACGACATTCATCGAACGAGACGGTCGAAAAATGAAAATGAAACCAAAAACTAAAAACGAAAAGTAAAGTGAAAGAATAAATAAAAGTAATGCCAGGAAGAAAAATAAGAAAATGGCAAAAATAAATGAATAAAAATGTGTAAGGAGAAAGATGGAAAATGAATTTTAAAAGAGAGGAAGACAAAGTCAAAAACGAAATTATATTACGCACACAAATATGCACACATACACACAAACAAGCATATACACGAACACACGTTTGCAGCACATTGCACATGCATACACATACAGATACAAAGACATGTGTATGTATACGTAACGCCGTGATACCTGCGCGAAAGAATAATATGAATGTAGTCAAAAGTTTGCAGATTGTCAGATATCCTCCGGCGCGCGCGCGCACACACACACACACACACATATATATATATGTGTGTGTGTGTGTGTGTGTGTATATATATATATATATATATATATATATATATATATATATGCACAGACACTTACACACACATACACGCATATATATATATATAGATAGATAGATACACACACACACACACACACACATATATATATATATATATATATATATATATATATATATATATATATATATACAGATAATATTAATTGTCAATATATGTTATTTTTTTTAGAAGAGGATAGAATCAAGGTAGAGCTCAATGTCTAGGATAGAGTAAGAATATATATATATAAAAAGGCTCAAACACTAATATTCCATGGTTATAATTTATTACATTGGAATAGTAATCACGATCCAATTTATCAGACCGGAAATTCAAAATGTCCAGGCCTCATTCCCCACCCTTTACAGGATTCAAAAGAGTCTTTTGAATTTGTAGGCCTGATGAATTAGATCGTGATTACGATTCCAATATAATAAATTATAATCATGGAATATTATTTTTAGAATCTTTTATATATATATATATATATATATATATATAGGTATGTATAATTGTATTTAATATGCGTACACACACACACGCACGCACACACACACACACACACACACACATATATATATATATATATATATATATATATATATATATATATATAGTACAGGTACTAGATCCGTTGGTATATAATACAGATTGATCCTAGTAATATCAGATATTAAAACTGATCCACAGAGAAGGCTCAATGTATTTATCATATCAGAGAATATATTTTTTATACAGCAGAAAAAATAAATTACCTCATGTGGGTATAGTCTATTTCAAATCAGCACTGCTCTATGTTAGGTATCCTCAGCCCAAGATTGTCATTTCCAGACAGGCTTGGGCTGAGAATAGGTGGCAGTGAGCAGTGCTAGTTTGAAATAGACTATACCCACATGAGGTAATTTGGCATTTTCTGCTGCCTAATACACACACACACACACACACACACACACACACACACACACACACACACACACACACACACACAGAATGTGCGATGGGTAAATTGTCGCCATTTTATTTTTTATTTTTTCCGCATACGCGTTGGTTTTCTTTGATTTTGTCGACTGTCCTGTATAGTAGGGTAATATGTACACCGTCTGTGAAAAAAAGAGCACCATGACGCAATTCACTCGGGCAAAAATTTGGAAAACAAAATATTGCACTGCTTGGCATTCGCACCGGAAGCACCAATGCGAACATTTCAGAGTGTTTGGGTATTATTTTAAATGTTGGATGAGTCTAATGGCGATTATGAAGGTATCTGAAGGGGTCACCAGTAATGTCAGCAATTGTCTCCATTCACCGAGCCTCAGACTCAACCCGGAACCCTACATGAAGTACCTTGACGAGGTAGTGCTGTCCTGGGTCAAGAGGGTGGATGCTGGAAGAACCTATATCTGGCAACAGGGCTTTGTACCATGCCACACAAGAAGGAGAACCCAGTCATAGCTGTCAGCAAATTTCTGCGTCCATATCAACCCTTACATCTGGCTACCTAACTCCCCAGATTGCAATCCCTTTGATTATTTTGCGTAGGGCGCACTTGTGTGAGAGAGCAACGAAACTCCTTGTAACACCAAAGAGGAACTGAAGGCATGGATTATGGCAGAATTCTCAAGGGAACCGTCCAGAAGTGACTCTGAAGTCGTCTGGATCCCGTAGTTGAAATTAATGGAGATTTTATTGAAAAAAATTACTCTTTAGTATTTCAAAATAGCTTTGCGTTATTTTGGTAAATATATCTGTGATGTCAACGTTATTTTAATTTTCTGCGTAATTTGAGGACAATTTATCCATCGCATCTTATATATATATATATATATATATATATATATATATATATATATATATATATACAAAGAAATAATCACACATAGAATCAATCATATACTGCCTAATGTTATATATATATATATATATATATATATATATATATAGAGAGAGAGAGAGAGAGAGATAGAAAGAGGTAGAGAGAGAGAGAGCTTGATAGAGATTGAGAGACAGATAATGGGGACATAAGAATTAAACCTACTTGGGAAAAATTCGTTTCAAAGCGTTCTGTAGGCTTTATATTTGTTATTGAACAAAAACACACACACGCGCACGCGAGCACGCACACACACACACACACACAGACGCACGCACACACACACACACACACACATATATATATATATATATATATATATATATATATATATATATATATATATATATCCAGAAGGAATGATGAAAATTCTCTGCCCTCTCCATTTCCTCAATGATAAAAATTGTTTGCACAATTACTTCGTGGGCTGACTGTCAACTTTTGAATATCTTATTTGATAGATAGATAGATATAGAATATGCAGAAATATAAATCAATACTTTAGGGTTATGTCAGTTTCATGCCTTAAGCGTTCTTCAGACAATCGATGCATATATTAAAATAGAATAAATTAACATCCGTTATCGCTGTAATTATGCAATTCAATAAGTTGCCCCAGGAACATAATGAAGAAGCTACGAAAGTCAGTTTCCACATCGCAGACCAGTGGATACCGTTCCATACATTAGTCACTGCCTAGGGCGCTAATATTAAGTGGGAATGTATTTAAAACTGTGTCTGCTTTGTTTGTTGTAATTTCAGAATGCCCGTCAATTGCTAAATTATGTTTTGAATGTCATTTTTGAATTACTCTTGCATAAAAGGCCACACTTTACAAGAATAAAGTGTGAATTGAAATCACAGTCAACCGCTTATTATCCGACAACACATCAAATAAAACAATATTTCTAGACATTATTACTTTATTTTCTTCAAACATAAAGGAACTGACTTAATTTTTCAGTTGACCATACGAATATACAATAGCGTTTCTAAATTCTTCTAGTAGCTAGCTTTTTTTCTTTTTTGTTGTTTACAGATATTTTGTTGATATTTATTGTATAAAATATACAATTTTGTCACAAGCCCGAAGAGGGGGTATGGGTTGGTCATCACTTACTATCTTATACCTAGCTAATCAGATTCACGACCCATTCACAATTGGCACATTCAGCACAAGAACTCATCCATCCCCAATCGATCCTCCACGTACAATAACACCGCACACTCTCAGGGGGGGGGGTCCTACAAAACACACCCCATGACTTTAAAAATAGATACTATCGACATTGGATGAAACGCGTCGGCTAAAACAACATTTTTCCTATTGTCTTTTTTTCCTATATATATATATATATATATGTATGTATGTATATGCATATATATATATATATATATATATATATATATATATATATATATATATATATATATATACAGTGTAAGTGTATATGAGAGAAACCCGGATATAAGAGAGTTGTCGGGACCGGAGAAGAAGTCCCTTATATCCGGGTTTCTCTTATATCCGGGTTTGGTCCATTTTGTTTAGGTAAGTATGGGCTCTAATTTGGGATCAGAGAAAATCTCTTATATCCGTGTTTTTCTTATATCCGGGTATCTTATATCCGATTTTACTTGTATATATATATATATATATATATATATATATATATATATATATATATATATATATATATTGTTAAATATAACAGACAATGAATGTCTATTATGTCCGATCATGAGTCGTTCTAATCTTCGTATGTTTGCTTTAATTTTGGGTGAAAATAAAGCCAAAATTGTCCAACATTAGGATAATATTTTATTCAGTGTGCCCTTGATCTAAGCTTTCGGATCACATGAGCCATCTTCAGAGTCGTTATACGGACATTTTAACAAAGATCAGTGAATATGATATTTTGTTATGTTGAAATAGAAGATTGCTATGCGACGATGACGGTCGAGTAATAGCAGAAGCAGGTCGTAAGTTCAAAACGCAGTTTTATGACGTCATACCAAGCGAGTAGCCGAAATATTAACAACAGAACTATATGTGAAGATGCAATGTAATTTGTTGTGACTAGTTTGAAATACAATTTTGTTGAGTGTGGGCTGCTTTGTTTTTATGTAGATAGCCTCCAACATCTGAAGGTTCTTTTTACTATGAGTATGTGTAAGTATTTTAGTGTTATCAACTAATATCTGTCTAAAATTATACACATGGCTATATATATATATATATATATATATATATATATAATGACGAAGTTAATTATCAGAGTCGAATTACACTAGGAAACATTAGGAATAAATAAGTGCTCAATACACATATAAAAATATACAAACGCGACATGTAAAGATTTTCAATACAGAAAATTGGAAAATAAACGGTATTCGGTATCTTCAGTTGATTTCGGTTAATTAAACGAAATCGCCTGAAGATATCGAAAGGTTGAAACCAAGGTAGCGAAATTTATCTATATACATATATATATATATATATATATATATATATATATATATATATATATATATATGTATGTGTGTGTGTGTGTGTGTGTGTGTGTGTGTGTGTGTGTGTGTAATGCCAAATCCATAGGTGGTAGGGATTATTCTAATGAGGTCTTTTTAATATAAAAATATTAAAAGTTAACTCAATGATGAGAGCTCAATGTATAAAATTATATACAGACCAATATAAATAAATAAATGAAAAGGAGAAACTTAAAATACTAGTCATACATACACACACACACACACACACACACACACACATATATATATATATATATAATTTAATAAAATGTAGTCGGTCTGATGAGGCAGATATATATATATATATATATATATGCCTCATCAGACCGACTACATTTTATTAAATTATATAATTTCAGCTAGACAATTTTATAAAGAACCTGAAAAAATAAAAATGAAGTAGCTATTTAAACTTGACCATAAAACATTTGCGGTGGGTGTGGGGTCTTATACTATTGAAGGGAATGAAAATCGGGGGGAAGAAAAAAGAAGTTTGTATATAGGAGTAAGAGAAGTAACGGGAAGATTTTATGGGTAAACCTTTAACCACACAACCAGTAAAAAAATATCACGGAAATGCAAACTATGTTTTTATTCTTTTCAACATTATTCTTATATATATATATATATATATATATATATATATATATATATATATATATATATATATATATATATATATAGTCATTGACAGATTGTTTCACAGCTCTATAATGTGGCTAGACATCCGATCGCTTCAAGCCGGGGCCGAAAACCCGTCCGATTTAACATCAGATTCTAAGATTTTAGCCCCTATCCAATCGACCTCCGGCAGAGAGAAAAGCGAATTTTTACGTATTTATTTCTTCATAAACACGCCAATGACCTAGAGAACTCAGTCCAATTTGGAGAGACTTGCATTATCAGCATTAATAGTCACTGTTTAGGAATACGCGCTTGTCTCCCAACAGTGCTCGACCGATTTAATTAATATTTCGGGAGCTAATATATTAAGAAATATGCATAATATCATACATTGAGTGCGCAACATGGAGTTTCATATGTTCAGCATTCGTCAGGTGCAATTTTTGGGGTTAAAACTGCTTGTATAATATTTCGAGATATTTTATTGTAGGGGTGGATTAATATTGCTTTTAAAATATTTAAATGATTTGTAGTGTAATTTGGGATTTAAATTTAGGCCCAGATTAGCATTTAAGATTAAAATTAACGTTGGAAATAAGAATTATAAATTCTAATTTGAAGAGACGCTGGGAGGAATAAATAGTTGTCCACTCAATGTAAGATAATAAATATATTTCTTAAATATATTTAATAGCTCTGTTATTTAACATTGAGCACAGTTTATTTCTTACATTACACACACACACACACACACACACACACACACACACACACATATATATATATATATATATATATATATATATATATATATATATATATATATGTGTGTGTGTGTGTGTGTGTGTGTGTGTATTTGTATACAAACGCTCACCCGTACATTTACCTATGTTTATCTATTTGTTTATATATATATGTTGGATTTTAAAATTAAATACACATAAACTAGGGTTGAATAGGGACTTGGGTGTTTTAAATCTTTATAAATATTTCAATAGTTAAGCAATTTTTTTTTAGATATAGTTTTTTTTTTTTTTTTAAAACAACATTTAAAATATTTACAGTTACATTTAAGTTAGGAATATCCGAACAGTGACGTTCCATATCACGTGACGTCCACGTCTCGCGAAGGACGCTACTTGCTAACAAACAGTAATTTTGTTTTATTTGTAACAAACAGTTATTTCTGATGAAAGATTGAGGACAATTTGAAATATCAAATATATATATAAATAAATAAATACTTTCATAAAATAAAACATTATTTTTTTAATTTGCAACTTTTTTATATATATATATATATATATATATATATATATATATATATATATATATGACAGAAGAAGACATCCTTAGTACCGACGTGCTTTAACCAACTCAGCCCCGAAGAAATTTTTATGATCACGCAAGGCAGAATACTGCGTTTAATCGAAATTCTTCTCGTCGTAAGCTTTCGAAATTTTCATATTTTCTCAGTTCTATATCCAAACGTAAATAAGGCGATTTCTAAAGAAGTAACGTATTATATTAAATATATATCCGACAGATTTAGTTTCTTTAAACTTTATTTTAGTTAATACTCGTATTTGAGTAGGCACTTAATCTATTTATTTAACGTTATATATATTTATTTTCAACTACTGGCCTGTATATTTGAAAAAAAAAAACTCATTGCAGAAAAAGTAAGGAAGGATTCGAACCTGCGTCCCTCCTAGGTAGGAGAAACCGTCATTAGATCTGACGTACTTATTTCGCTTAAAGGCACTATTCAGCCTTGCTGGATCGGCAAAAGTCATTTATGGTTGATTCCATATTTCACTAAAATGAATGGAGCACTTTGGCTGATTGGCATTTGTTTACATTCGAAAAAACAATACACTAGATTTAGCTGTTTCTCTCTGCCGAGTGAGGATAGCTCAGCGGCAGAAACTCTGACTGATACCAGATCGGTTGGGCTTCGATCCTAGCATCAGGCATTCGGATGTCTAGTTGAACTGAGGAGCTGTGATACAGCGAAACAGCACTGAATGATACACACACACACACACACACACACACACACACACACACACACACACATATATATATATATTAACACTGACATAATTAAAAATTTTAATATTAAATTTTTTAATATTTTGAAATCATCTTCGAATACGTTTTCACAACATCGCCCACGTGACGACAACGTGATCATATTTAAACGGAACGCTGATCTTATATAAAAATTTCAGTTATCTGTTTGGATTAGTTGTGCTCTTATGTCCATCGTCTTTTCATGTTGAATTTTATATGTTCTAATGTTAATTATGTTTAAGGAATATGTCCTGATGATGGTCTAAAATAGACCGAAACGTCCGACGTTGACTTTAATACGCCATAATTGCATATTAAGATTTTTGTTTGTTTTTTCTGTATATTTTTCTTCATACTTTCGGATCTATATCCATATATTTTTATATATATATATATATATATATATATATATATATATATATATATATATATATATATATATATATATATATGTATGTATGTATGTATGTATGTATACATACAAGATATATATAGATATACAATATACGAGATATTTTAGATACGAGCCGGAGTTCGGCCGATTTTATGCCTTGAGATACAAACGGAATTTTGAGATACAACGAGTTTCAGCTAAACTTCCTCTAGTTGGTGCAGCATGTGCCAAACTACGCAACTAATTCCATTCTCAGTACACGTTTTCATCTAGCTCTGGAAAGTGATGGAAAGATGCAATACATCCATTGCTCAATCAGCTGCTAAGAAAGTCAGTTCATTGTGTCGGGCGAAGCAATTTTTCTCTCCGGAATCTATCTTGCATGTTTATAAGTTTACCATTTGACTATGCTTAGAATATTGCTCATATATGGTTCGGTGTCCCTGCTGTGTATTTAGAGCTCCTTGAGAAGATTCAAAGAAGAATCAGCAATATTATTGGTCCTGTTCTAGCCGTTCGGCTTCAGTCACTTGCCCATCGCCGTAATTTGCCTCTCTGCCATTTTTTATAAATAATTTTATGGTAATTGTCCAGATGAGGTCCTCTTGTATGAATTTAAGCGCAGTACTTGACTGGCAGCGAGATCTTCATCAATTTTGAAGATGGAAGCCATAGTATGTATGTTAGTACCATTGCTAAAAGCCTGAATGATTTTCTTCCTCTCAACATTGCTCAGTTGAGAAGACAGTGGGACTAACACAAAATGATTTTAACCTGTTCCCTTTCTAGTGAATAACTCAAAGGTGGCATCAGTGATTCTTACGACAAATGGTATCAAGATGGCTAAACGTCTTATCTGAAAACATGGAAAAAAATCTCAATTTGTTTAGAGTTTTTTTTTTTTTTGGCTTTTTTAGATATTAAACATTTTGTAGGATGGACAATTCTGCTGTTACGCCCGGTATATATAGATCGCATTTTGTTCAATATCTCCCTATCCCTCCCTCTCTCTCTCTCTCTCTCTCTCAGCTGCTAAGAAAGTCAGTTCATTGTGTCGAAAGGCGAAGTATCTATCTATCTATCTATCTATCTATCTATCTATCTATCTATGTCTGTTCCTATCTATCCATCTCTCTCTCTCTCTCTCTCTCTCTCTCTCTCTATATATATATATATATATATATATATATATATATATATATATATATATCGCAGGCCATTCACATCTAATTATAATCTTAACTATGTGCGTTAATATTGATTTTGTGGAAATTATTATTTTAGAAAATTACTTAACTTTCATATTTATATGAAATAACTTGACATCTCTCTCTCTCTCTCTCTCTCTCTATATATATATATATATATATATATATATATATATATATATCGACTGTCAGTGTAAACTCCGTGCAGAATTCTGATTCAGCATGTGATCTACATTTAAGATTTATTTTGAATATAGCTTGACATCTGTAGGTTTATATATATATATATATATATATATATATATATATATATATATATATACTCGACTCAAATTATTCGAACTCTCTCTCTCTCTCTCTCTCTCTCATTCTGTTCAATATCTATCTATCTAACTATCTATCTATCTATCTATCTTAGATGAAGAATTCAGGCCCGTACGCCTTGCGAGAGTCCAAAGGAAACAACTACCTCAACCATCAAGTAACTTCTCGACTGTTTCTATGGAAACTTAAGTTGTTGCTATGCTATGGGCCCAATAATTGGCTGATCCTGCTGAATATTACACCGGGGCCGCTGGTCTCCAAATTCCAATAAAAACAACGACATGTGTCCGCAGCTTAATTGATTGCCCGGTTGGAGACTGACCGTTTTATGAAGTGGCACAATGAAATGAAGTAGATTAAGGGCTCCCAAGTGGCCTGCTCCAGATATAAAATCATCTCGGACGCCAGGGTGGATGTTTATGAGTCTAATAAAAAAATAATAGGGTTATTTAGAATCTAAATCATCAATTCCTATGGATTGTGTGGAATTATAGAAAGCTTATTTTAATCGGGTGTACGGCCCCAGTATAGGGGTACCCAGAGATGACTGGGGTCATTAGATTGTCCTGATCGTGTAGGATTGGATTACTAATCTTCATGATACGACAGATGAACAGATATTTACTAGTATATCTCAGTATCATGCATAGAAATGTTATGTTTATTAATGTAAGGTAGTTGTATATTTGTCACATACGCATGATATTTATCTATCGATCTTTCTCTGAATCTCTCTCTTCATATATATATATGTGTGTGTGTGTGTGTGTGTGTGTGTGTGTGTGTAAAGTGAACATTGAAGTCAACACAATCGTCAGACCGCCTGATAAATATAGCACACCTTAATACCATATTTTCTTCACACACATATATATATATATATATATATATATATATATATATCGAATTCTGTTCAGTATCTATCTATCTATCTATCTATCTATCTGTCTGTCTGTCTGTTCCTATCTATCTATCTATCTATCTATCTATCTATCTCTCTCTCTCTCTCTCTCTATATATATATATATATATATATATATATATATATATATATCGCAGGCCATTCACATCTAATTATAATCTTAACTATGTGCGTTAATATTGATTTTGTGGAAATTATTATTTTAGAAATTTACCTAACTTTCATATTTATATGAATATAATTTTGACATCTCTAGATGTAGGTTAATATATATATATATATATATATATATATATATATTCGACTCAAATGTGCGAACTCGACTTTAAAATTAAAAACGAAATAGACATAAACAAATTAAGATACTTATGACCAGAAATCATGATGTGTTTTGCAATAAAACACGACCTGACCACATTTACTAGTTTGAAAATCGATTTCCCAAAAATTTATCTGCTGATTTTCTTAAATGATATTCAAACTATGTAAGGATAGGGGCTATATATATATATATATATATATATATATATATATATATATATATATATATATATTATGACGACTTCTTTTCTCTTTTTACTTGATCTTCTTTTAATTTTTATCATAAATACATTTGCCGTTAATTCTCACGAACGCTGATATCTGATCGAAGCGTATCGAAATTGGAAATTTTCTGTTTAAAAATAGTAATTTGAAATGGCTAAGCACACTCTTCCTCTATAGCTAAATGGTATAGCCCGTCAGGCTATATGACGGTTACGTGTAGGATACAGGTTCGATTCATGTCGGAAATTTCTCGAAAACTTATCGCACATTCAGGCAATTTTTTATTATAAAAGGGCATTTACTTAAATATTTGTATCTATAAAAATAACGTATAAACAGAAAATATATTAAAATAATTGTCGGACTTAGTCCTTTTCATAATATATGACGTCATTTGTTTACGTTAAGTTACGTTCCGAGCAGATATGATAGTTCGATAAAAATCTTAGAAAATTTGTTGTTTAAAAGCAGTAATATGACTTTGCTAACCAGACACTTCCTCTGTAGTTAAATGGTATAGCACGTAAGCCTGTATGAAGGTTGCTTGGAGGAGTACACATATTTTCTATGAAATTTCTCGGACATTCAAGCCTGTAAATGTATTTAATACTGTTTATTATAAACTGGATATATACATTTGCTTAAATATTTTTATCTATAAAAATAATGTATGAATAGAAAATATATTAAAATAACTGTCGGATCTCAATTTATAATTTATATATATATATATATATATATATATATATATATATATATATATATATATGTGTGTGTGTGTGTGTGTGTGTGAGAGAGAGAGAGAGAGAGAGAGAGAGAGAGAGCGCCCGCGCGTGTGTGAGAGATGAAACAAATTGTTCATAAACGACGCGTTTCGCTGACATGTGTTGGGTTCTTCTTCCTCAGGTCGGAACGAAAGGCAAAATTGTGTCTGATGAAAATGCGATGAAGACAAGAGTGGCAATAAATTAAATTACCTTATCAGGCCCGACGACTGAATGTACTCACAGACAGAAAATAACTGTAATAATAATAATAATAATAATAATAATAATAATAAAAACATAATTTACCGGGCCAAAGTAATCTCTTATTCGGTCATATAAAAAACACAAATGAACAATAATTTCCCTAAACGCGTCATCGACAAATAGAATTAGCCTGAACGAAATCCAGAAAAAAAAAATGACACCAGACCCCTCCCTCACGCAAACGTAAATAAACACACCATTAATTTATTCCATCGTAACCAGGTGTTCTCTAATTGTAAATGAGATGAAAAAAGCAATTAAAAGCATAATTCAATGGTACAATGATCCCAACAAACACTTAAGATTTATCATCTACTATAAAAAGTTAAAACCATCTAATAACACCAATAACACTGGGCCGCCTACCACCACCCACTATATAAAAATAAAGTTGTCTATGAATTCTCATCCCGCTGGGAGATTGCATCTCCGAGATTAATAATAAAAGAAACAACAATAAATACTTACATTGAGTATACATACACCACACTCTCTTTCAGATTGACCTGTCACCTATCGAAACTCAGTGCAATCCGTGCACACATCAACCAACACAACATAAAAGACCAAATTACAACTATCTGTCTAAAACAAATATTAGTAGATAATAACAACATTCTCTACAGCACCCAATGCAAGAATAGACTCAAAACCCTCGAAGTTTTTTATTATACGAAACAAACAGCCCACATTAAATAAAATATCATTTATCACAGGAAATGTTATCTTGAAGTGCATATGAGATAATTAATGTGTTGGAAAATATAATCAAAATAAACAGACATGCTTTAATCAAAATTGTTTGCATAAAACGTGAATTTGTAAACAGTGACTATTACTGCTGATAATGCAAGACTCTACAGCCAAACTGAGTTCTCTAGGTGACTGGCCTGCTCATGAAAAAATAAATACGCAAAAATTCGCCTTTCTTTCTGCCGGGCGCCGATAACCCTGGGGGTTAGAACATCCGACTGATACCAAAATCGGTCGGGTTATGGTCCCGCTTGAAGCGATCGGATATCTTGTCACACTGATGATATATATATATATATATATATATATATATATATATATATATATATAATGCATTTCAAAAGTTTGAGGCCACCCGTGGTATTTTTTAAATTGCCCCCTCCCCACAAAGTAGTGGTTTTGTACTTTAAACAAGAAAAAAAATATGTATAGGTAAAAAATTGAAACATGATATTAAAATTATTAGAAACTTTATTGTGACAAGAAGAAAAAAGCATTTTATGATTAAATTTTGCTCTCGTCAAAATATCCTCCATTAGTCTTGATTACAGCAGCTCAGATTTTTGGCTTTCGTTGGAAAAGTTTCTCAGTTTATAAGTTTGATAAATGATTCCATTTTTTTCAATGATTCTAAGAACTTTTCATTTTTTTTTCACTCTTCTATCAAGTTTATTCTATGCTATTTGTGTGCGTGGCTTCAAACTTTTGAACTGTAGTATATATATATATATATATATATATGAACAAATTCATTGACGTTCTGATGAGATAACATCCGTCTATCTCTATGTAATAAACTGTTTGTATTTCATTGTGTTAAGAGGGACGTTACTTTGCCACTGGCTAAGATTTATACATATAAACAGAAAATATATTAAGTAATTGGCAGATTTAATCCATTTTATTATATGTTATCATTGTTTACGCTAAGATACTTTTGGTGAGCAGACATGATCGATCGAGAAAAATCGACGAACAGTAATTCGGACTTTGCTAACAAGACGCCTCTCTGTAGCTAAAAGTTATAGCAGGTCAGATCAAATGACGGCTTCCGTATAGGAATACCGGTTCGATTCCTTTCAAAGAACGCATATTTTCTACGAAATTTCTCGAACATTCGGCCCGGTTAATGTAATTAATACTGTTTAATCAAAAAAAAAAAACAGAACATTTACTTAAATAAATTGTATGTATAAAAATAACGTATAAACATAATATATATATATATATATATATATATATATATATATATATATATATATATATAAAATTATTTATTTAAAAATATGATTCCATCCTTTACATAAGTATATATATATATATATATATATATATATATATATAAACATTTGCATTCATAACAATTATTCTCGTTTATTTTATGGAGAGAAGGCAAAGCAATAATTGCTTTCTTTAATTAGTTTTAGTTTAGTTAAATATTCAGTAGGTATTTAACATTTAAAAAATGCTTTCACTTCAAGCAAGGCTATAATGCCACTAGAACGTATGTTGGGGGGGTTATAGGGAGTGAAAGTGAAAGATAATGCGAAGGTTGACAATTGGGAGGGTTAAGGAAATTATAAAAAACGAATAGGGTTCTAGAAGTCAGAAGATATCGATTGATGCTGCATTTTAATTCTTGAAGATTGTAGTTAACACGAAAGCAAGAAGAGAATTCCGCAAGTGGGAAGTGCGTAAGACAAAACTGTTAATACAGAAGTGGCGGTTTTATTTAGCTAGTTCGATAGTAAAACAGTGAGACCTGGATGTCAATCTCTTAGCATGCTTAAATTAATGTAGTCGGGGCACTAAGTAAATAACTTATCGGAGCAGTTGCCATAAATATATTTGTGGAACAAATAGAGAGAAACCCCATTACGTATATGAGAAAGTGACTAATGACGAGATGCCTGATAAAGATTGATTATATTAGAAATCCTCCTCCGGATTTTTTCAAGAATCTCGAGTTGTATAGCAGGATCACCAGACTAGATATGGCAACAAAGTGCGGTCGAATGGCAGATATATAAATGTGCAAGATAGATTCTGAGGAGAAAAATATTTTAGCACGACACAGTGAACCAACTTTCCTAGCAGCAAACGTAGCAATTGACTCGATATAGTCGTTCGGCTTCATGTCAATGGAAAAAAGGCTTAACTGACATTCACCGATCGTTTTATTTAATAGAACATTTTTAAACAAATGTTACTGACATACTATACTTAAAATATACCAAATTCTTGTCACGCTACCTACAACCATGTAACGACACGAAATACGAAACAACATTCCATAACCTAAATATAATAATAATAGTAGTAGTAGTAGTAATAGTAGTAGTAATAATAATAATAATAATAATAATAATAATAATCCACTTGACTTTTGTAATCGTAGCGGGGATCTGATTGCATAAGCCACACTAAATCTCCCCCACCACGGTCTATCAACGTCATCCATCAACTATTCTGATATTCTCTTACCTGTCCATTGTTTGACATTGTCCAACCAGGTTTTCACTTTGGCATCCTCTCCTACGTCCACCTTCAACGGTGCCTTGCATGATGGTCTTGCACAGGCAGTCGTGCCTTGTAACGTGTCCAAACCAAGCCATTTTTCTCCATTTGACAGTGGCGAGATGTTCCTTGGTGGCCCACAAAGCCTTCAACCGGTTTCCGCACAAACTCATTGGGTTTATGTTTCCAATAGAAGATGCCAAGGAGTTTTCTCAAGCATTTTTTCTCAAACGCTAGCATCATTCTCTCTGTTTATGCCAACACTGTCCACGCTTCACATCCACAAAGAGAATAGAGACTACCAG